CTGTGTTAAGCTGCAGTCCCGGTTAGAAGCGATGTCGAAGTACAGGGCCACGCACAGTAGGCGTCTGCACATCGGACCTGCCTCGGAGGGAATGCTGCCAGTTACCTCCAACTCCGAGGAAGCAAACGGACCGTTCACGGACTTTTAATTTTTAGATACGCATGTGTTTGGATACGCGTTGTATATAGTTGTGTGTGTTTTAACAAAGCTCTTTCTTTGCATAAACAGCTTCCTGGCAAATGTTAATTTTGCTGTATAAATTCATTCATGTCCTTGATGGTAGCCTAATAATTGTGTAGTAGTGTAGGATAACATAAATACACAGCATATGAATGACTAAATATATGAATAAATAAATAAATATATATTTGTATATATATATATTTACATATATATTTATGTAAATATATATGTAAATATATATATATATGCCAACCAATCACGAGCGATTTTACTTGTTCAAAAAGAAGTGGTTCTGTCCAATACTCAGTAAGAAAATTCAAGCCTGGCCTGGCCACGTGTGGTTTTGCTGCCAATCACGAGCGATTTCACTTGTTTGAGAATAGTGGTTTCAACCAATACTGAGTAGGTTATTCAAGCCAGACCTGGCCAGCCGCGCGGGTTCGCTGCATTCATATGCTAATTAGGGCCATTAGTACAGCTGATCGCTCTCCACATACGTCAGAGTCCGTTCCCGACAATTTGTGGCACTGACAAACGGCGACAAGCCGTTTGTCAGTTTGTCAGGTTGCAAATTGTCGGAAACTGACAAAAATCAGGGAGATCTGCGGGAGTTTACGGGGACGAAAATCTCACTTTTCATGCAGTGATGGAGCCAACAGTTAGCCTGGGTGGAGTATTCCCACAACTCTCATGTTTCAACTGCTACCGGAGTCTCCCCGTAGAAGCATCGCTCGGCTACCAACCTTCACTGCTTCCCACATCTTTTCCTGAATCCGCCCTCCCGTCAGTCAGGTCTCATCTCCTCCGTTGTCGTAGGGTTTGGGAGCAGACCCAAGCAGCACTTGAATGCACCATCCAGAACAAGAACATTGCTGACCGTAAACGCCTTCCTGCACCCACTTACACCCCTGGACAGAAGGTATGGCTTTCAGCTAAAGACTTTCCATTGAAGGCAGTCTCTAAGAAAATGGCTCCCAGGTTCCTTGGCCTATTCACCATTGACCGCATCATCAGTCCCACTGCTGTTCGCCTCAAGCTTCCTCCTCATCTTCGTGTTCACCCCACTTTCCACGTTTCCTAGATTAAACCTGTCATCTCCAGCCAGTTGAGCCCTCCTACCAGGCCCCCTCCACCCGCCCGGGTTGTGGATGGCCATCCCGCTTTTATTGTCCGAAGGATTTTGGCTTCCAGACGTTGGGGTCGTGGACGCCAGTTCCTGGTGGACTGGGAGGGGTATGGTCCCGAGGAACGTTCCTGGGTTCCTCGTTCTTTTATTTTAGATCCGACTCTTATTGATGACTTTGAGGCCTCATCTGCTGGACGGCCGCCAGGGGGCGTCCGTTAAGGGGGGGGTGCTGTCATACTCTGTGGTCTAGGTGCAGGTCTGTGTTTTGTTTCTCCCTCTCCTCTGCAGGGCTGGACGGGCAGG